TATCATCGGTCTTAGACCTCTTCGGTGCAGTTTGCGACTGCGTCGGGGACTGCCTCTTCTCCCTCAACTGGAGCTCAATCTCCAGCTCACGCCAACTAGCGACCTCCTGAGCCTACTAAGAAACAAACTCCGGGCAAAACATTGACCTCTCAGTGAACATCGAGGTGATCTCCATCACCGTCTCTATACCCTGTCTCAGGACCAAAATCTCATTAGCCAATCTCTCACACTCGACCCTGGGAATGTATCGGTTGCGGAACATCTCCTTGAACTAACCCCATGTCACAGCATCTCTCTGCTCATCAGAATACAACCCGGTAACCAATCTCCACCAATCCTTCGCTCTAGACCCGAACAGGTTCAGAACGCACCTGATCTTTTGGCCAGCATGGCAGGAATAAGTGAAGAAACATCCCTCTACATCAGACAACCACCTCATGACTACAATCGTGTCCTGAGCTCCATCAAAATTTGGGGTCTTCGTGTTATCGAATTCTCGATACCGAAACACTCGTCCTGGCCCAACACCTGCAGCCGCCACAGCTACAGAGGCTGTAGCAGTAGCAGTCTCAGCTATGGCTGCGTATCTTTCATCAAAGTACTCCATCATCGTGGTCTTGAAAGACCCGAACATCTCTGATATCGGTCCCCAAACAATCTCAACCACCTCCTCTCGGATGATCTCCAAGACACAATCCTCTGTCAATGCTAGGTTATCCTGGCTGCCAGCTCTCGATCCTGACCTAGATCTGGTCTCAAATTGCCTTGTAGTCACCATACTGAAAATATATCATGAAGACATCTTATAATCCACATAAATAACAATGGAGAACCAACTCCCAACAAAACCCTAGGGGTTGTGACTTCCTTGTTATACATATATGTCCTATGCTTTCAGTAGCACGAGCCCATACTACCTTCCACACCTACCCATATTTGTCTCAAGTATCATCACAACACCCTAATAATATACATAATCAAAGGCGAGCGCTCAATCTTCGCTCCTAGAGGAAGGCTAAATATCTCACAACTGCCCGACTAACGCCGCACAACTCATCCATGAAACTTCCACTAACCCTGCAGCACTAGTGTATGCTAGTCATACATAACATTGGACCCTATAGACATCTAAATATCTAATCCTACCCTAAGCCATGCTTAAAAAAAGAACAGGAAATAAGGCCAAACCAAACATTCTCGGGCTATAAGATCTTAGTTATGTACAACAGTGATACATACCCTAAGCAACTAAAGTAATGATGTTAATTTCATATAAGGAAATCCCTAGGCTATTAGGCATAATAAAATTAGGCAATTCTATCATGCAATTCCTAAAGATCCCTAGCTTATCACTTGCATGATGTTTTAACATATCACAATATCAAATAACTGTATGGTATTTTGGTGTACTTACTAGCTCAGGCTGATCGAACACTTCACATCCTCCTTTAGTATTTTAAAAACCATTTAAAACTCATTTTGAAAATATTTTAATTAGTTTGAGATTGGATTCAAACGACCGTTCCTCCAATTCACTCAAACCAAGGCTCTGATACCAACTTGTAACATCCATAAATTTCACAAAAATTTTAAACTTTTCTCAGACATCCAAAAACCATTACTTATTACCAAATGTTTTCAAAATAGTTCCATATAAGAGTATCCCATAAATAAAAATCATAAAATGTGAGGAGGTGCACGATCAAGATTTCGCCTTCCCGCGATCCGAAGTACCAAAACCAAAATCCAAAATTGTAAGTCCGAAGCTTAGTGAGTTCCCCCAAAATACTCATACAAAAATCATACATATATAATAACATCATAATATGGCCCAATCAACCATCGGGTTATAATGCCAACATACTATGGCTCCAATCATCCTCATGATAGTATACCCTCGGCCTACAACCATCGGGTTGGATTGCCCACATACAATAAGCTCAATCATCCTCGATATGGAATACGCTTGGCCAACAACCATCGGGTACAAATGCCTATATACAAAGTGTCCAATCATCTTGGGGATGGAATACTATCGGCCCACAACCATCGGGTTGGAATGACCACATACAATGCACATATATCAAATATTCACATAACAGTCTATAGACAATCAAACTGATCTACAGATAACTAAGCATAGCAACATCCTATCTACCAAGATACCGATACTAATAGATCATAACCATATAGATCCCCAAGTTGTCAACATAAAAATAAAACCCAATTAACCATTTGGGCTTCCAATGCATAACTCTAAACCCCCCCCCACCCCCCCCCCCCACACACACACACACTTAGGGTAAAAGGACCATTTTACCCCTACCCTAGCTTAGTCGAAGATTAAGGCCCGAAATCATACCCTGAAATCCCAAAACATCAAATAGTCGACCAAGCCCCAACTATGACCCAATTTTCCAAATTAGGCCCACAGCTCTACATGGTCTTCCCTTAAGGCCTAAACATTTATTATAGTCCAAACATTTGGCATTCCAATGGTCCAACCTCTCATAATCCTCAAAACCCAATTATGGTACATCTAAGACTGAATTTTCCAATTGGGCCCAAGCCTTTCCAATAGGCCTTATCCTAAAGCCCAATCCAAATATTTTAGTCCATATGCTTTTTCTTGGATGGTCCATCAGTAGCCCAATCTCTAAAGCACAATAGAAAGGCCCAACTCAAGGTCCAAGCCAAACAAAGGTTTTCTAAACCCTATATAGGGTTTCCAACCCAATCATCTTCCAATTAATCCATTTGTTAAGTTTTTAGATTAATTAATTATTAATTAAGTTGGGCACCACCCACTACCACCTCACAGTGGTGATTATGATTCTAAACAAAAAACTAATCAAACATCCAAAGTAGTAATCTAGTCATACAAATGCACACCGCCACCCAACACAGTAGTTAGTGGCGGCAGAGAGCAGCAGCCACCATGTCACGGTGGTGGTGATGGGTTTTCTTAGAGTTTTTCGTCCAAATAATACATTATACATCATAATATCCCAAATCACACACATACACTCATGCACAACCACCCTTGAGGTGGCCGGAGGCGGTTGGAGGTGCTAGCTACCACCTCACGATAGTGGTGGTGGCTCCCTTGATATGTTCGGCCAAGCAACACCACACAACACTTCACTTTAATAAACACACACACACACACTAAGATAAACACATACACATTTTGTTTTCACAAAGGACCCAGCCACCCACTTTTTGGTGCATGGCGGCGACAGTAGCATAAAACGGCTGCAACAGCGGTGCTTACGGTGGGAGTAGGACAGCCAGAGCAGTGACTCGAGTAATAGTCTGCGGAATCGGGCAGCGGTGGAGCAGCAGCACTACAACCATCGTTAACGGAAACTGGTGGCTTGTTCTTCTTCATTCCCAATGTCCCATGGCTGACCTTCGTCCTCAGCCTCAACAGCAGTACTTTGGCAGTGATGGTTGCGCTTTGATGGCGAAGGAGCAGGTAGTGGATGGGGCCTCACATGGCAGCGACTGAAGAAGGAGAAGGAAAAGAATGGTGGAAATCCGGTGGTATTGTCGTCGACTGGGAATGGTAGCAGCAATGGTGTCATCGGCCAGAGATAGCGGTGATAATACTCGATGGGGCGGTTCCCAGCTCCGACCATGGTGGTGGCGTCTAAGAGTGAGGAATGGAGTTTGGCAACTGAAACATGTTCTCTTGGGTTAGGGTTTACCAGGGTGATGGGTTTATATACCCCGAGCCCCATATAATTTTATCCCATGATGACAACTATGGTTCCTCCCTCTTGAAATAATTTCGAAATAGCTTCCATATTTACCCATTAACCCTTACTATAATTCTTTTCATAATAACTCCAACAGTTACCAAGTAGCCCCTCCTATACAAATTATTCTCCAATAAAGTATATATATTACCATTCAGCCCCTTGGCCACCAAAATCTCTTCAAATTAAATCCCAATAATTTACCAAGTAGTCCCTGCCTTCATAAATAATTATGAAACCAATCTGAAAATTACACTTTTAACCCCCGACTTCTAAAATTGTGACAGTTAGCTCCTCGAGACCCACACCTTGCTATATAATTTTTGATTTTAGGGCTACTATTCATTCATTTATTTATTTAATAAACGGGATGTTACACTTCTTCACTGATTCTACTACTTCACTTACAACCACATTTCTCATTTCACCAGAAGTCATTGTCAACGTATCTGATACAGGGGCAGATGTTACTTTCGGTGTTACTATTGGTCCAAGGACGATAATAGCTTCACCATTGAGAGAAGATGATTTTGATGTTATATATGGGGATGATCAAGATGATTTTCATAATTTTGTGCTTATCCCATTCACAGTCCGTCAAGCAAGCGATGATGACGAAGCCCCAATGACCAAAGGGCTGTTTAAAGCCTTGAATGAAAAGTTAGAAAAGATTTTGGAGTCTACCCAATCTTCCACCAATTATGAGTACATGTTGAAGTCTCATCAGACTACTGTGGAAATGCTAACAAAAAAAATGTGAAAGTCCTTGAAGACTCAACCAAGGCAATACAAGCATCAGAGAAGAACATTAATGAGATGACCGCAAAAGTAAAAATAAAAAAAATAATAAAAAAAACAAAAAAAAACTACATGCTGAAGTTAGCAAGTTTATGGCTGATTTTCAAAGCTCAGCTAATAAGAACACTGAAGAAGACAACAAAGTCATTATGAGTATCGGAACTACTTTACAAATTGAAAGAGAAGCCTTTTCTCGTGTTCGAGGTGAACTCCAAACTGACACATCTGAGATGATTGTTTCTGTTGTTTCGAAGATCGAGCAGCTTCAAAAAGGATCTTGCTGCTGAAAATGACATCATGGATAAGTTGGTTGCGAAGACTGAAAAATTCATGGTTCTTTCCCTCAAGCTCAACTATGTGAATAAACACTTGGATGATCTCAAGACTGAGGAGGTAGTCATCAAAAGCTGCATTTCCGAAATTAATCATTATATGCATCATATGGTGGAAACTCGGGATTCTTTGCTAAATGTTTCAATTCGTCAAAATCTTTTTGAAAAGCTTCAGCCGGTATTTGACATGTTAAACCAAATTGATGGTGTTTCAAAAGTTGATTCGCTTCCGAAACAAGGGGAGAATGTTAAAGAAAAAGAACAACCTAAGCCCCACGTTAAGAAGCCCACTGATGAATAACATCAAGAAAAACCGAAGATAGATCCGAAGGTTAATGAAGCTTCAGGATCTAAAGGGAAAGAAAAGATAATTGATGATGATGAAGAAAAAGAAGAAGTTCTTTTGGATGGTGAAAAGCTTATTCGAAAGAATTTAGACAAGGTGCTTGATGATCTTCTAATTCTTTGCAAGGAATTAGAAGCAAAGGAAGCAGAAGCTAGAGTTGTGAAAGTTACTCTTGCGAATCAGATGTCATTGTTTCCTCCATGGACCCTTGAACGAATTCAGAAGGAAGCGATCGAGGTTTTGAACATATTGAGAGAGCTTCACTTTCAGTCTACGATGTCAATAACAAGCTTTTTTCATTTTATCTCAATCATGCCCAGCCTTAGTACAAAATATGGAGCTTAAAGAAGTTGGTCGTTGTGAAAGTTTATGCTCCTTTTCCAATAGAACACTTCAAAAATGTCAAATTTAGGGGTTTTCGAGGAGCAGATCGCAAAGAAGAGGACTTCACACTTGCTGATCTTCCATGTATGAATCCAAATGACTGGATTTCCTTGTTTCTAATATTGTAAAACGATGAAGCAAAGTATGAGCCAGTCGTTTCTCACCTGAAAAGAATGTTGATTTGCTACATTCATGAAGTTGCAAAATTGGATGTGGAAATCGCTTTTATATTGAGGAAAAGACCTATTGTGAATCCAAAAGAAGAAACAAAGAATTTTCAAAAGAAGGAGTTGGGAAAGATTAAGAAAGTAGATTGGAGTGTGGTATATCAAAGGAATGAGGGTGACAAAGTTTAGAAGAGTTTGTTCTTTCTTTTAGACAAAAATTTATACTCCTATGCTGCTTTGACAACATTATGGGCTTGACTGTTGCGAGCAAAGTGGACAATGATGGGGATTTGAAATGCTTCAATCATATGATTAAGTGGTATCTTGTGATTAGAAATACCCTTTTGAATCTGATGACTCGGCTATTCAAGGTTGAGAAGAAATAACAAAGAAGACTCTTCTTTCTTTATTTGACACAAAGGGGGAGATTGTTGGGCTATTTAATGTGTTGTATCAAATGTTTTGTACTTATACAGTCTTATTTATAACGCACTGGGCGTGTCCATCCGAGTTTATGATTTGTTAGTGTTAGACTATTTCATGTGAATGCATGTATTGTTCTAGGGTTAACAATTATATTTGCCCTACCTAGCTTTTATAGAAAAGTTCACGTTGAACTCTTCTAAAGCTATTAAATATAATAATTCGGCATTATTTGATCTTCATTGTTCTTGTTGAATATTCACTAAATGACTATAGAATCTATCGATCAAACTTTTTATTGTTTCTACATAGTCGCTAGTTCATGAAGAAGCCCTAAATCGATTTTTATAGGGAGGATGTATCAACTAATTCCATGTAACTAATTATTATGTCATGTCACCTATTATTAGACCAAGTCATCCTTTAACCAACAATAGCTGGTTGTCGATGTGTAACTTTTGACAAAAATGTATAATTGTTGGTGATTTTTGTGTAAAGACTTTACTTGGATGGTGTTTTATGAACATACCAAACATCGATGATATTTTTTGAACACTTTGGAAATATAGTTACCATCCTGAGTCATTTCCTCTTGTTTTTTTCCTTTAATTGTTTTTTACCGATAATTACTGGTTACCATAAGGTCAAATTTGAACAAAATATGTAGTCCGTTGATGTTTTTTGTACAGAAAATTTTACTTGAATGAGGTTTTTTGGACACACCAAACTTGAATGTTGTTTTTTGAAAGATTTTGGAAACATAGTTATGATTATAAGACATTTTCCCTTCTATGTTTTACTAAGTATCATTATAACTATAATTACTTCTTGTAGAGAAATAAAATATCCTCCTAACTAGCATTGCAACTATAATTATTTTTCATAGAGAAATAAAATGTTCTTCTTTCATGCTCATTAGATCAAAACATGTATCATATATATAACTAGCATTGCAACTATAATTATTTTTCATAGAGAAATAAAATATTCTTCTAACTTATGTTCATGCTCATTAGATCAAAACAATTATCAAATATATCTTTACTACTTATAAAAGAAATCTAACTATTTCTATAAATAGATTGAATATAATAATATTATTTTTTTAAGACGTCCAAACTATTAAGCTTGAAGTACAACCCATTTATAATATAATAATATTAAAACTTTAACCCTATCCTTTATCCCTAAAAATCTCGTATCAAATTAATAGAAGAATTCATTTGCAAATTGAACCCGTCAATCTCAACACTTCAGCCATTTGAAGCGGTCAATGTCAACAATTTATAGAGGATCTCTTCTCTCACATTGGTAACAAGCCATCTCATAATATCTATCTTCGTAATCCCTTCAAAGTAAGAAATATACGCACACTCTCTCGAAGAACCCTAACCAGTAACCAAGACAGTATAACCACCACCACCACAGCCGCTCTGACTCCTTCCGCCTTCAACCAACCACTATCACGACTACCGTCCTTCCTCTCACATATGACATGAACTTTCTTTTGGAACATAATATTTTTCTTTAAAAAAATATCGTTGAAAGAAGCTATTTGTCCCCGCCGCTGTGCGCGGGTAACGGCTAGTGTGTGTGTGTATATATATATATATATATATATATATATATATATATTAGATTTTACATGCATGTTGTATGAGTAGGAAGAAAATATATAATGATATTTAATTTTTCTTGTTATTTTATTTCAAAAACATTTCAACTTGTAAACCATAGTACCATTTTCGGTACCGGTATCAGTAACGTTAGTTCGGTACGATGCTCGGGATTGACTGTCGATCAAATTTGGTATTCAGGAAATCGAAAACGGTATCAGTCAATACCGGTTCCGTCCCACGCTCATCCTTAGTTTTTTTTTTTTTCTCGATATATATAATCATTCAGCTTAAAATATTATAAGATCCAAGTTGAGCTCTTAAATTTTAATCAGGCAGTTTCATTTACGAAAACCTAACAAACCTACACAAAAATTCACCAATATTCAAACAAGACTTTTATTAAAAAAAAATAGAAAAAACTATTTAATAGACTTAAAAACTCAGTCACAGCAAAACTTCGAATCCAAAGCTTTCGTTGTTGATGAACAGTTGATAGGTTCTAGAAAAAAAACTTGTGTGTAATTTCCATTAGTTGCCTTATTGGCATTGCAAATGATGGTGGATGCCATGCTGCCGCAAGACGTTAATTAATGATGTTGATAATTAATTACGCGTTCCACGGCACGTGTCTTCATGTGTTTTCTTCGTGTGAATGGAAATTGGCTTTTAATTTTCCAAGCTAACCGTCAATTTCCTCCATCCTTTGCCACGTGGTTCAATGACAACTCGGACACTACATTGTTATTAGAGTAAATTATACGAGTGGTTCTAACTTATTTTTTTACTGTTTGTTTTTGTTACGGGTTTGATCTTCGTTTTATCTAAAAAGATTATTTTTCTTTTAATTTTTTAATTTATTTAAATGAACACACCCCAACCCTACCCCCTCATTTTAGCTTACCTGCTCCACCATTATTCTCTATTTAAATAATAGTCTTTTAAGGTAAGACAAAGATCAAACGTGTAACAAAAACAAACAGTAAGGACCAAACGTATAACAAAAACAAACAATATAGATCTTCTAAGTTAAAAAAATAAGTTAGTGACCAAACAAACAGTAAGGACCAAACGTATAACAAAAACAAACAATATAGATCTTCTAAGTTAAAAAAATACGTTAGTGACCAAACATTCAAATTACCACACACCATGTAATATTTTTAAATAAATTACTATAACCGTCCCTAGAGTTTGATAAAATTCCATGTTTTATTTCTAACTTTTGTTTTGCACTCAGACCGTCCTTATTGCTTAATTTTGTTGCGATTTTCATTCTTGACAGACATGAAAAAGACTATATCACTCATTATATTTTATTTTTCAGTTTTTTTTGTTATTATTTATTAATTGAAGAATAACTAATTGATTTATATTTATTGACATATGGATGCAATCTCACTCCCACAACCAAACACCATTAGCCACCAAAAGATACCTCCGGTTACCGGAAACTACCACTGAGAACCTAAAATCAACTCCAAAACAATCTACTATAAACCTGGAAGCCACCACCACAACCACCTAGAAATCTAAAATCAAATTCAACACCACCACCACCAAATTCTTCCATTAATGACCATAACCAACAATCCACCCATATTGAAGATGAAACATGCACATAAAATTCTAAATATGGAGGCTTCATGTTTCCATCACAACCATTACAAAGTTTTTTGTAACAGTCAGTTCAGGTATTGAATAATGTTATGCATGGTTAAAGCCACAACTTGGATTTTGGGGATCTTGTTCCCACAGTGCGGTGGTTGGTTTACCATGACATGGTGTTGCCACGTGTTCACGACGTAATGGTCATTTTTATGTCACGACGCGACTCCACAATGGGCACAAAACCCTAAGTTTTTTGCTTTGAGCCTTATTTAAGAGATATGATAGCTTGAGTTTCCTCAACCCTCAACCTTAATCATCCTCAAAGATTCTATCACACCCCCGAACCAGGATGGCAGAAACGTCTGGGGACGGATGACGTCATTGTATAGTACCATAACAATTGAATATGAATGAAACATAACATTACAAGTGACATACATTGAAAATACAAACTTACATTGTTTACATACTATACTCGTTCATTAGTTACACAAAAGTGACAAAAAGTAAAATTTCATAAGGTTGCACCACTTCATCTCATAGGAAAGCTGATTATCTGTTACTGTTCCCTAAGAATACAAGTCATTTTGAAAAGCATCAACTAAAAAAGTTGGTAAGTTCATAAGCATTTTTGTATAAAAATGGTTTTGTACTTGTTTAGAATAGTTCTCGTACTACTTTAAGAAAATCTAATATTTTCTATGAAAATGGTTTGTAAGTCTTGTTCCAAAACCGTGAATATATGCATGCATGTCCTTTTTTTTCTTTTTTTTATATTTGTAAAGAGTGTGTTCCTAGAAAATCCAATATTTTCATTAGTATGAACTGAAAACGAAGGTAATTACGTTGTATCTCTTCCTTGTAAAGTATAATGTATAACTCCCGAAAATGCAGTATTTTCTTAAAGGTGAACTGTGGTTTTAAACCCTAAGACCACGATGGAAGTGAATATCATGCAGAAAATAGTTTATAGTTTCTGAAAACCTTTGTTTTTCTTTAGTTTGCGATTGTAAGGAGTGTGTTCCTAGAAAATCCCATATTTTCTAATGCATGAAAAACGTTAGTCTTAAACCCTAAGACGAGAAGTGTAAGAGACTGAATACTTGAAAAATGATTTGCTGCTTTATAGTTTAATAAAACCAACGAAGTGTAAGCTTCCCGTATACTGAAATAGTATGTTCATCCATGTGTGAGTTCTTATAACCATACTAATGTGACTGATATGCCTGAACACGACGTTCTTCAAGCGTCAGAGCCGGGGGGACCTTTGTCACCCTAGACACGTCGGTCTAACCGTAGCGAACAACTGAGGTGTGGGGTTGTCAATCTCGTATAGATCTATACACAACGGTCTCACCCTCCCTCCAGGAGACTTTGGTTATAACGTAAGACTTACGGTGTAAGCTAGGTAGGTACAACGAAGAAAAAGTCTCACAAAGAGCATTAACTAATTTACAAGAACTTTGACTCCATTCGTTGAATAAAGAAAACGACATTACTAGCGTAAATTTTTGACTGAAGTTTTATGACACGCGTTTT